TGACTTGAAATCTGGTAGCAAATATCCTGGCTTTAATTCATTAAAAAAATATTTTAAACTCTTTCCTTTCTCTCAGGAGACTGGGGAGGTTCCACCTCCCTTGTCTCTAATGACTGCACATCCCTGCACCAAGGTCCTCTGTTCTGGCGGGAACAGAGATTCAATCTGATTGGTCAAAGAGTCTGACAGCTCCCTATAAAAGGGCTGCTGTCAAATTGAACTTTCTCTGGATTGTACATAGTTGACTTGTGCTAATAAAGAGCTGTTTGTTACTCTGAAGCCTGAGTGTGCCTTCATTCACCCGATCTAATAACCCAAATCATGATCACATGGCTACAAGAATGTTCAACAGCCATATCTTCAAGGATCAGTTTGTAAGCCTCCTCATTCAGCTTTGCCATAACTTCAAATGGTCACTGATGAGTAACTGCTAAATTACCTGTAATATGTAATTAAAAGATGTATAATGTTGTGGTAATGAAATATTCTAAATGCTGTGATCTTGTAATCTTATTGGAGCAACATATTAATAAAGTAAAAGAAATAATAATAATTAAAATATAAAAAATATTGGAAATATTTTTTTGGGAAAAAAGAAGACTAGGATAGCTTTCCAACACTTTAAAAAAAAATTATGATGACCACTATATCATCTCTGAAACATTTTAAAGCCTGTCAACAAAAGATTATAGTGGATACCATGCTATATGTGTACACTGGACACTAAATCATATAAAAATTCATTTCATTTTCTTAAAAGATTTAAATTGTTGAAATCTATCATATTATGAGATCTCAGGAGGCTATGATGTAATAGTGGTGTCTCTATAATAGAGTTAAAAGAGTCAAGATGGTAATTACAACAGTGCAATCAAAGTTCCATCCATTTTGTGTGTGTAGTGTGCATTTGTAGCATATAGAAACAAGTGAAGATTTGATTGGCCTGTCATAGTGATTACTGTATTTTTCGGAATATAAGACGGACCTTTTTTCCTCAGAAAAGAGGAAAAATCTATTGTATTTCTCTCTCTGTCTATTTCTCTCTCTCTCTCTCTATCCCTCTACCTACCAACCTACCTATTCTCTCCCTCTATTTCTCTCTGTGTGTCTCTCTTCCTTTATCTATCTACCTAACTACTCTCTCTCCCTACCTACCTACTGTGTTTCTCTCTTTTTCTCTCCTTGTCTATCCCTCTATCTACCTACCTACTTTTTAAAAATTTGCCTCTTCAAAACCTTGCTGCATCTTATACTCCAAAAAAATGGTATCTTGCCTTTTTAAAAATCATATCCTTAGACACCCCTGGTATAAAATTTTGTGTGATTTTGGCTATTTCGGAAGTTATTTATTTAGTTAACAAGTATAAGCTGTCCAAATGAGAATTATTCTGGGCAGCATGCTGTTAAAAACATGTCTAATAATTATTTTAAAAAACCAAATTAATGTAACATCTGAGCATAAAATTCCCACAAAGGCACATATTCCTAACCAACCACTTTGCCATCATTTGCCACCCCCTGGAAGAGACATGCCTCTTAACTTGATTTATTTTTGCTAATGACCACAAATGTATCTGCTGGTCATTGGCCAACTTAATAAACTATAAAGGAAAACTATAATCCTTTACCTTCTGTAGCACAGATCTCCCGAACAACATCATTCTTTATGTACTTCAAAGAGGCAAAATCATTCACAAAATAAGCCCGGTTATTTGAATCTGCAATTGTGTAGATCTGAGATGCATTTGTATGCCTTACACCAATGGCATAAAGATTTATTTTCTCATTCCTCAATCTCCTGGCTGGTTCCTCTACATTGTCTTTTGATATCTGGTCTAATAACACAATTAGATGGCAGGGTACTGTTCTGGAAGGCTGACTTTGCAATTTCCTAAACAAGGATTGAATGATTGTCAAAGCTGCTCCGGTGTAGGGGGGAGTCCCACCAATTTGACGAATGTTATCAATGGCTTTCAGTATATCATTTGTTTTGCCATATTCCTCAAGATCAAATTCCACCTCACTGGTTTCTGCATACTGTATAACTCCAATACGGACTTTATTTGGACCGATGGCAAACAATCTAATAATTTCTTTCAAAAATAATTTAAGATCCACAAAGTCAAAATAATCGAGGTTTGATGAACCATCAATGAGAAAATAAATATCAGCTTCTTCCATATCCACACATCCTATAAGGGACAGAATGTTGGTGCATGATTAATATATAGCCATAGAATAAAAGAATATTCTTGTTGACTTTCTCTGAGCACTATGCTGATGAGGCAACCATTGACTTGTGCATCACAATTTTGGAGCAAGTCACTGAAACTGGGTAAATCAGAAAAGAAATATCCATCGATTCTATCAGAATACATAGATAAATGTAAAATATAGATGCATGGGGGTTTTTTAAATAGAAAAATAATTAACCCATGGCTACAAATTAACCAGAGAAAGACAAACTTTTAGTAATCAAAGCAGAATTTCATGTTTAATATGATTGGCATAAGTGATGATGCAAAGCAGCTGAGACTGCATTACACATATTAACAAGTCTGAGATATTTTCCCCTTTTTGTGGATTGTTGGAATCGGGTTCTTTTTAGTGAAATAGGAATTCATTTAAAAGTTTTGCTGAGATTTTAAGCAATACATATAGTAGCAATTTAGAACAAAATTTATTGCAATTTCACTCTAAATTTTATATTAAAACTATATATTTTAAAAGCTAAAGCATTCATATTAGAATAAAGAAAACACACAGTGATATTATTATAACTTCACCACTTTTTGTAATATCAAAGTGATAATAAGATATGATTATATTCTATTATAATAAATTGTGGTATTATGTTGTTAAACAATGAAACCTTGTATCCTGTTGTCAGTCTTGCCATAATGCTGGTACAAAGGCTGTTCACAGGTGGAAGGTTTATTCATTTATTAAGCCAAACTTTATTTGTGGCTCCTGGACTGTTGCAAACAGGTGGTAATATAGGCTCCATCTTTTAAATAAAAAAAGCCTGATATCTTCTCCAAATATGCAGCCACTAATACACCATGTGCAAAATTTCTACTGTCAGAAATTGCATGCTAATATTTTAGAATAATGAAGAATTTCTATAAATCTTGTGTGTTCTTTTATTTTTGGTTTGATTTCATAAATATCTACAGATATTTGTAACATTTCTTATAAGTACTTAATAAAAAACTACTTTTTTATTTTACATTTGAGTGCTCAGTTTCTGGAATGTTCTCACACCAATTTTGACAAGAAAACAGTTCTTCTAGAACATGTTTACACACTTTACTTTCCTCTTGATTTTGCCTATTAAGAAAAATTTATTCAGAAGAAATTACCTCTTTTCAGAAGTTCCGTTCTTTTGGTATCCATGTAGAGTTTCTCCTGTATTTGTGTCATAATTTTCTTCTGAAAATCCAGAGATTTGTTAAGCAACTGAGAAAATGTACTTAGCTGAGTAACGTACTGTGGTGGTGGGTAAGCAGCAATCTGGGTTAGTTGGGTAATATTGGCCTCCTTAATGCCAATGGCAAATACAGTCACACCAGCTCTTCTAAGTAATTTAGCTGCATCTCTCACATCCTCTTCTGAAGGTCTATGACTAATCAGAAGGGCTATTTGTTCTACCCCTTGAGCCTTCCTACTTCCAGAACTGACACTGAAGACTTTCTGTCTTGTAAAATTAATGGCGGTACCTATGTTAGCTTTTCCTGGCTTAGGTGATAGGCCCTGGATGTTTTGCACAACGTGAATTCCATCAGTTGTCATCTGCAGTGAAGATATCACCTGGGGCTTAGTGCTGAAAGTCACTAGGCCTATTCTTATGCATTTCTGATTCACATCCAAAGAAGACACCAGGTTTTCTAAAAAGAGCTGCATCTTTTCGAAGCTTGTTTGTGACGTGCCTGCATCCACTATAAATACTAAATCAGCAACTCCATCACTATGACATGCTATAATAAGAAGGAAACACAACATTGCATTTTGGATTCTATATAGCTTTTTCAAGCATTTCTATTAGTGAATCAACATTTCTACATTTATCATCCAAAGTATATACTTTCTGCTTTGCTTTTGCTCTGACCCATCTTTCCAAATAGTGCCTTTCAGAGATGCTGAACTATAACTCCCACCCTCACTAGCCAATAAGGCCTTTGGCAGGCTGGAAAATATGGGCACATCTGGAATACACAAGGTTACTGGGAAGATACTGTTTTAGGTCAGTAGCATTCAATCTTTTGGCAAATGAAAACTACTGTGGGTGGTGAGAAAAGAGGATTATATTAAGAGTGGAGGTCCTAATTTTGGGATAGGGGAGAGCTCAAATCTGTCATCATAAAAACTTATCATGCCTGTTTTCTAAGTGTTGTTTTGCATGAAAACTGCCAACTTTTTGGAGGAATTAAGATTTATCTCTGAGAGCCAGAGAATAAGAAAGAACTATTGGTGAGTCAAGTGCATTCCCCATCAGTAGGAAATATTTGCATAGTAGATGGGGATGCATGTATTTATGTGTGTTTTTATTAAATGTTTCTTTAACAGATATCTCATAATACCTCCAGTAGCACAAAGCAATATATCTAGTCCTGTCTCTCCTACTTTTCTACACAACAGTATCCAGAGTTGCGTTGTTGAGATGGAATTGAAATAAATAAATAAAACTCATTTTGGCAAGTGATATGCTAAGTTTCCAATTACATTTCAAATTTTATACTTTTGTGGCTACTGTTAATTTCTTTCTAATAAATAAATCATGGAATGTCTTACCTTCTATTACTGTTTTGGAATACATGTTTACAGCTGCCATATTTAAAAGCTTTATATCAGTATTACCTATGTAAATAGCTTCAGCCACAATCCTAGAAATATTCTGAGCAAATAAACTAAGTTCTTCTATTTTAGGAAAGAAGAAATAAAATGGCTTTGTAGCCAACAGACGTAGTTCATCAATAGAGGCCTCTTCCACCCCAATTGAAATGATCTTTACTCCAGCTTTCTGCAGCAGCCAACCAGCATTTTTTATATCATCTTTAGATTGTTGAGATGTTATCACTATCAAAATCTTGGACCTTCCTTCTCCAAGAATTGGTTTCCAGTAATCAATCTCCTGTACTCTGTAGAGAGCACTGCCAGTTTTTAATAAGCCAGTTCTAAGCACCATTTTCCTTTTGATATGATTTAACATTGGATTCTTCTCTTTGTAGGTATCCAGCTGGAATTCACTATATACTTGATCAGAATATTGAGCAAGCGCAATGCGATATTCATTAGGGTCAAAAGGTAAAAATTTGACTGCTGTACTAATAAATGTTTTAATATGCGGAAAAGACGTATTACTACTGGAAACCAAAAATATAAGATCAACAGGCTTGGAAACTGAAAAAGAAGAAAAGATGTAATGACGTAATGTTTAAGCATTATGGCTACAAAACAAAATGTTCAAGTACTTCAGTATTTTTCAAAGTTACTATTAAAGTGAAGCCAGGAAACTAAAAACCTAAAACTACTTTTCAAAACTTTGTGGGACATATCATAAGATATAACTAGAAAAGGCCTGTCAAGGACCTTAAAGTGTAGCCCTTTGAGTCCTCCAGGATTTATTGTCAATTAGAGGCTGTTAAACTGACAAAGAGAAACTTTGTTTAAAATATGATTGGAGATTAAAATTAAATTATGATTTATTTGAATTGTTTTTAGTGAGTTGATTGGCTGTATAAATGTGATAAGTACAGATTTAATTTTAATTAGAGCATTGAATTTAATATTGGACTTTATGTTAGTCTATGACCGAAAACAGCTGGATTCCTGGCGGTCACATGTAAAGGCTATTGTGTAATTTTGGGCCAGCTATTATCTCAACCCCACCTACTGCACAAGAGAAAAGTTCGGGTTATGGAGGAAATAAAAGGAGGGAGGGAGGGGTGGGTTCCTGCCAGTTCTAACCTCTTCTATAGAAGAGGTTCTACAAATCTACAGTGCTGTTTATTTGTGTATAAAGAAATGTACAGGGAACAGTAGAATACTCTCTTTCTATTCTTCTCTTTTCTGCACAGATACATCATCATAGGAGGAAACAATATTATTTCAGTTTTTAAAAAAGCATCTGCTATTCAGTCCTGAAGACTCTTAGAACAACTAAAGGCACATTGGAGTGCAATAAACAATTTTAATACACAAAACAAAGTAATAAAGTATTCTAATTTTTTAACATTGTAATAGCACTGAAAAAAGTTTTTAAAAGTTCTCCAGGTGGAAGATTTAAATAAGTAGATCATTGATAGTTCATTTAAAAAATATAAGAGTACCAGTCTCCTTCTCAATCAATCAAAACATCGTCTACCTCTTGTGTCATTTGCCAGCCTTTTCAACTCCCTCCATTAAGGAATCTGAGCTCTGATTTGCATATACTCTTTGAATTCTAAGAACTATAAATTCCAAAGTCCTGGAGGCCACCTGGTTGAAAAGAATTGCTGATATCAATTCTTTGTTATATGCTAACCAGTGGTGGGATTCAAAAATTTTTACTGCCGGTTCTGTGGGTGTGACTTGATGGGCGTGGTGTGGCTTGGTGGGCTTGGCAGGGGAAGGATACTGTAAAATCTCAATTCCCTCCCCACTCCAGGGGAAGGTTACTGCAAAATACCCATTGCTTCCCGATCAGCTGGGACTCGGGAGGCAGATAATAATTGGGGGTGGGGCTAGTCAGAGGTGGCATTTACCGGTTCTCTGAACTACTCAAAATTTCCACTATCAGTTCTTTACAATTGCTTTACAATTTCTGTCTTTACATTTTTCTCAGGGATCAAACATCTTCTTTTGATGTCATGTTTGTGGAACTTCTGTTATTCTTACGAGTAAATCTTAGTTGTTTCTAGTAAATCTTATCATTAGGGAACAAAAAAATCTATTGTACCTGGTTTCTGAGCCATGAAAGTCTGTGTCCCAGTAATTATGAAAATTAATATCAACAGCATTTTCAAATTTTGAGCAATGTTCCAATCCTTAGCTGTAAAGGAAAAAATTAAAAATGCCATTTATTTCATGTGTAATTGCAATTAATCTTGAATTGTGTGACAAGAGAAATATATGCGAAAATCACTCACGCTGGATCACAAAATCTCCGGAACTGTAAAGCCTACAAACTTGAAATTTGGCCCGTATCTTCCTCTTGGCTTCTAGGTGCTCGCTTAGAAAGGATTTTTCAAAATGACCATCAGATAATTAGTATTTGTTATATTATTAACATGCTCTAATTGTAAAGAGTTCTACTCCCCCCTCCCCCCTTGAAAAGATCTCTGTTCAAACTGCAACTTGGGCATGGCCAGTGTGTGACTCATCTGGCCTGCTGGCTGGGAGTTTGGAAAGGAGATTGGGGCAGAGAAGGAGATAAGAAAGGAGAGGTTTCTGTGGGGCACGGCTGAGGGAGAGAAGGGGATAGTATATGGGAGGATTCTGTGGGCAAGCCTGAAGGAGAGAAGGGGGTAAGATAGGAGAGGCTTCTGTGGGGCAAGCCTGAAGGAGAGAAGGCGATAGGAGAGGGAAGGATTCTGTGCGGCAAGTCTGAGGGAGAGAAGGGGAGAGGAGAGGCCAATCGTTAAGTCTCAAGACGTAAGTGCTGATTTATCAAGCCCGATCACACAGTTTCATAGTGGGGCATGGATATTCAGCTAGTATGATATAAAAATGAGCCAGAGCTTACCAAAGACATCTCAATGCCTGATAATATCTGCACACAGAGATTAACTCATTTGACATATATAAGCTATACCACACATATCAGGATATTATCCTCCATAACGAAGTCAAAAAAAGCATCATGACTGAATCTAATATCCTACTTGCACATGCATTGATGCATATACATGGCTAAGGTGACCAGACGTCCCGCATTTGGCAGAACAGGCATGCCTTCTCATAATTTTCCCCGCCTCCCAGGCCATTCCCAAAAGATTCCGCTTAATTTTGGCACCTTCTTCAACTCGCTCCCCCGCCCATCCACTGCCGCTCGCATGGGTGGGCTAGCGTAGTGAGTGAGCAGGTGGATGGGCGGAGGAGTGAGCTCGCCTTTCCAGCCCCACTTCCGGACAAGCCGTGGGAAAGCCTCCGCGAAAAGAGCCACCTGGGGCCGCCGCTTCTTCTCCGAACTNTATGTATAGTATACATGTGAGTGTGTGTTATGAAAATGAAAATGGAAATAAAAAATATTTATATCGAGAAGGTCTCCTGCTGCAGCAGGGGGTTGAACTAAATTACCTCTGAGGTCTCTTCCAGCCCTGGATTGCTGTGCTATTTCAAAGCATTCTCTGAAGCAAATCTCTAGTGCCAGGTTTGTGGTCCTTCCTTCCTCTCCTTTTTCTCTCTCTCCCCCCTCTCCCTCCCTCCCTCTATCCATCCATATCACATTTACTTTCCCTTCCCTTTTTTTCCCTTCCCTCCCTCCCCCTCTCTTCCACTATTGATTAGCGTAGCCTGAGCAAGGATAGTTAGCCGCACTTTCAATAAGCTCTCAACTCCATGCCAGAGGTCTACAAACTTGGCAACTCTAAGACTTGTAGACTTCAACTTCCAGAATTCTCCAGCCAGTAGAACTGAATTCTGGGAGTTGAAGTTCACAAGTCTTAAAGTTGCCAAGTTTGCATACCTCTGCTCCATGCACTTGGGGATCCACAAATGGTGAGGATTTCTTTCTTTCTCTCTCTCTTTTGAAGACACCCCCCACTTTTATTCCCAGGGGGCTGCAGGGAGGCTTGCTAGCCCCCCCCCCATTCTCTTTTGGACCTAGCAGGCCTCCCTGAAGCCTGCTGAGATCCAAAATGGGTACAGAGCCCCCAGCCCACCCGCCCTCACTCTATTTTGGGCCTAGCAGGTCTCCCTAAAACCTGCTGGAAGCCAAAATAGGCATGGACACACACCCCACTCTCTATTTTGGGCTTTGCAGGCATCCCTGCAAAGCCTGCTGGGAGTCAAAATGGGGCTCATGGAGATCCTGGAAGGGGCAGAGGAAGGGAAGGCTGCAAGTCCGGTGGGGATGGGGGTGTGTGCAGCAAGCTCCATGGAGTGGGCTAGAGAGACTTATCTGTAGGCAGGAGGAAGAGGCAGCTCAGTTGCGGCGCAAGGCAGGCACCACGTGGCAGCTTCGGCAGGGAAGCCACCCAGAAGGTGAGGAGTGACTGGGTAGATGGGCCATTTGCACTTAAAACAGTCTGCAAACAGTAAAAAAGAGAAACATTACATTTTTCCATGAAGATTGTTCTGCACATGTGCAGAACAGAATATCAAGATGGTGCTATACTGGTACGGTCACGTGTCTGTTGGAGTTACTATCTATTCACCCATACTGCACCGAATAGGTAGTGTTAGATTGGGTAATGGAAAGGCACACTCAGGCTAAAGGCAACAACAGCTCTTTATTGTAACAGAACAAGTATGTACAATCCAGTGAAGGTTCAGTCTGACAGCAACCCTTTTATAGGAAGCTGTCAGACCCTTCAACCAATGAGATTAAACCTCTGTTCCTGTCGGAACAGAGGACCTTGATGGAAACCATTATAACAGTTGCTAGTATCTCCCCTCTTAGATGGAATCATCCTCCTGGTACCGTAGTCAGGCAGGTAGGCGGGCTTTTTGCTAGCTCTGCCAGACCTGCGCAGTTGAGTTGGGGGTTATTCTTCGGACAGGTAGGACAGACCTGTTTGCTCTGCAGCTTCGCTTGGTGGAAGCTCCTGGAATCTTTCATAGGCCACAGCTTCTGGAGTTTCTAGAGCCAATACGCTCAGAGCTTGCTGCGGGCCTGCAACATAAGTAGATAAGTATCCCAGTGTCTTCAGGTTTGAGTTGGCTGTGGAAGGAGTGACTTTGTGCTCCTTTTGGGTAGGGCTTTGGCTAACTCCTGCAGGAGTTACCTCTGGCTGCCTAAGAGTGGAGTTGGAGAGGCGGCGACGGAGTTGGTCAACGTGCCTTCTCCAATTCCGACGGTCCTCGAGCTCTATGAGATAAGAGTGAGGCCCAGTGATGGCTATCACTGTGGCAGGAATCTACAGAGTTCCCCCGACGTAGTTGTGGGAGTAAACTGAGTCCCCTAAACTAAAGTTCCAAATTTTGCTTGTGGAGTCTGGGGCCGGTCTAAGTGGGACCTTAGCAAGTGACCCATGAGAAGCTCGGAGGGGCTTCTCCACGTAGTGGTTCTTGGCGTGATATGTTGAATTAGAAGATAATGGCCAACCCGTATTTGCCAATCTCCCGGGCCCATCCTGGATAGGGCTTCTTTTGCAGCTCTCACCATTCTCTCCACCTGACCATTGGAGGCTGGATGGAATGGTGCGACCAGGGCATATCTGATTCCCTTTGCTGCTAAGTAAGTCTCGAATTGCATGGCTGTGATTTGGGGCCCGTTGTCAGAGACCAGGACATCGGGCAGGCCATGCATGGAGAAAAGTCTCCATAGTACCTTGATGACCGCTTCTGCCATAGTGGAGGTCATGAGGACCACCTCTAGCCATTTTGAGAAGGTGTCCACAACTACTAAGAATGTTTGGCCATAAACTGGGCCAGCAAAATCTATGTGCACCTAGACCATGGTGCTTGAGGTTGCCCCCACTCCTTAGCAGGCGCCTCTGAGGGAGCTGGTCTGGACTCCTGGCATGGTGTGCAAGTAGCCACCCATTCTTCGATCTCCCTGTCCATGTTAGGCCACCACACGTAACTCCTAGCTAAAGACTTAATCCTGACAATTCCAGGATGCCCTACATGTAAAGCCTCTAATACTGCAACTTGCAGTTTGGGTGGAACAACGACCCGGTCCCCTCACAGCAAACAGCCATTAACAACAGACAATTCATCTCTCTTATAATAATACATTTTGAAATCAGACCCAACAGGCCCCTTGGGGCACCCCCTCCACACCCAGTTCAAAACTTGTTTGATGGTGAAGTCTTTTGCATAATAGCGGGCAACTAGACGAGACAGGACTAATCTCTAAACAGTCAATAAGAGGGACTGGCATCCCGGGAGTTGGGTCTGCAAGAAGTTCTGGCAGCGGGCAGAGACTCAAAGCATTGGCATGCCCCAAGGTTGAGCCAGGTCAATAGACAAGGCAATAGGTGTAGGCCACTAGGAAAATAGTCCATCTGCTCATTCATAGTAATAATGACACAGGAATAGGTCGGTCCCCAGCCAGCGAGCCCAGTAGCAATTTGTGGTCCGTAATTAGTTCGAAATCATGGCCGTAGAGGTACTCATGGAACCTTTTTATCCTGACCACTGCAGCCAATGCCTCATGGTCCAGCTGGCTGAAGTTCCACTCAGCAGCGGACAAGGTCCTTGAGTAGTAGGCTATGGGTGCCTCAGTTCCATTTGGCATGCAGTGGCTGAGGACGGCTCCGACGCCAAACGGAAAAGCGTCGCAAGTCAACACCAGTGGTAGGGTCTGGCTGTACCAGGAACATATCTGCTGACAGTAGTCTTTTTACTGTGGCAAATGCGGCTGCTTCGGTTCTGCCTCAGGACCACTTTGCGTTCTTAGCCAGGAGATGATGTAATGGCTCAGCAACAGTGGCTTTCTGTTTAAGAAAGATGTTGTAGAAATTAAGGAGCCTGAGGAATGCCTACAGCTCGGTTTGATTGCAAGGTGTAGGGGCATCCTGGATTGCTTTAATTTTTTTTGAGGTCGGGTGAATCCCAGAGCTATCGATGAGGTACCCTCTGAATTCAACCCTTGGCATGTTAATTTGGCATTTTCCTTTTTGGAGATGTAGGCCTTTGTCTCTAATTCTGGTCAAAGCAGTTCTTAAACATTTGAAAAGTTGTGCTTCATTTGCAGCCGACACCAAGATGTCATCAAAATAGGGGACAGCTCCTGGAATCCTCTGCAAAAGTCATTCCTTGATGTTTTGAGACAGTCCGGGGGCGATACTAACTCCAAATTGCAGGCAGTTACATTTGAATGCACCCCTATGCGTCACAATGATTTGGGCCTCTACCATAGTGCCATCTACAGGAAATTGTTGGTATACCTGTGCCATGTTTAATTTAGCGAATACTTTGCCGGGGCCTAAAGAATGTAATAAATGCTGTACAATGGATACAGGGTACGTGATTTGTTGTAGTGCTTTATTGATTGTGTACTTGTAGTCCACACAGATGTGGACAGACCTGTCAGATTTGACAAGCATGCTGGGAGACCTATAGGGGTCTCCCAGCATGCTTGATCAACCGGCTCTAGGATTCCCTGGCCTATAAGCTTGTCAATTTCCAGATCAATCTTAGGGCAGAGAGCGAAAGGTACTCTCCTGGGTTTTAGCCTGATGGGGGCTATATTGGGGTCCAAATTAAAAGAGGTTTGAGTCTTACCCAGACTGGTGCTGAAGACATCCTCAAACTCCTTAAAGAATTCTTCGGCATTCTCCTCTTTCAAGGCATTGATACTGGTCACTTCTAGGCCCAGGGCTTCGAACCAGTCAAGCCCCAGGAGGCTCTGCAGGTCACTGCTGACCACTATCACTGGAAGCTGGCTGCTGAAATTTTTGAATTGCACTCGGAAGGTGCCCTGGCCCACGATGGGGACTCAGTACCCCTAGAAATCGCAACGGTGGATGTCAAGGGTGCGTAGATGCTGCTTCTTCAGGTTAGGGATAGCCTGCCTGAGTGTAGACCACAGCGTAATGGTCAGTGATGACCCCGTGTCGATCTCCATCCCGCATGGAAAACCCTCGATGAGGACTGACTTTCAGCTTTTTTGGCTGCCTTGTGCGGACTTGGCCAATTGAAACGTGATAGGTGACTCGGGTGTCACCTATCACGTGTGCTATGGTGGTGGCTGCCCCTTGGTTGGGCTTCTGCTGGCAGTTAGGTCGGCTTCTGGGCTTCCAGGTCATTGTGGGGTGCTTACTTCTGCAAACTTTGGTGATGTGCCCCTTTCGCTCGCAGTGCTGGCAGATAGCGTCATGGAAATGGCAAGAAGCTCTGGCATGGAAACGTGGTTTGAATTTGTGTGCTGGCTTGGCGCGGCTACCACGCATGTGGCAGCTATCATCTTTGTCTTCTGAGCTCTTGGCCTCTGCAGCCTCATGATGTACGTGTGTGCTCTTTCACGCATCTTGTGGAATGCTTGGCGCTGCAGGGTTTCTGTAGACTTAACGGCCGATTCGGATGCTCTGGCTTCGTCCAAGGCAATTTGTAGAGTGATGTTAGATTTGACAAGTAATCTCCTCTGTAAATTAATGTCCCGCACACTGCATATGATGCGGTCTAGTATAAGTTCATCTAGGTCTTGGAACTCTCAATACTCTGCGGCCTTTCATAGTGCCGCAACGTACTTGTTGATCAATTCACCTTCCTTCTGATTGCAAATATTAAATTCGTGCTGGCGGACGTGCTTAGATGACTTAGTGTGTCCACAGCGTCTGTTGGAGCACTGACCAAGTGACCGACTGGAGCGGCATTGGCTCAGATAGGTTTTTGGCTGTTTTGAACACTTCCCGTCTACAGTATCCCAGGAACATGTTCTTCTTGCGGCCTTCAGAAAGGCCCATGAAGTCAAGGAAGCAGTCAAACCTCAGCATATACAACTCCCAGTGCTCGGTGACTGGGTCATATGGAGTCGGTGGGGCGTGCAAGGCCATTTTGTGTTCTGAGGGCATTTTGAGTTTGCCACTCAAAAATGGTTGCTCGAAGCCATGCTGAGCTCCGGGCTAGATTTACTTGCTGGATTGCTACGCTCTTTTTGGTTCGCCTAATTGCCTTCCAATCCCATCCTCGTCACCAGTGTTAGATCGGGTAATGGAAAGGCACACTCAGGCTAAAGGCAACAGAACAAGTATGTACAATCCAGCGAAGGTTGAGTCTGACAGCAGCCCTTTTATAGGGAGTTGTCAGACCCTTCAACCAATGAGATTAAACCTCTGTTCCCACCGGAACAGAGGACCTTAGTGAAAACCATTATAACAATTGCTAGTATTTAACAGGTAGAAATCCATTTCTGCCCCATAGTGATAAATAAGTGTTTCAGTATATCAGGGGTCCTCAACCTTTTTGAACAGGTAGCTGATTCACAGTCCCTCACACTGTTGGGAGGCCAGACCAACTGGATGGGCATGGCTAGGTGGACATGTGACTGAGTGGGCATGGCCAATTTAGCAATCCATTTTTCCTTTGTCCTTGCTGTACTTGCTCATCCCAAAAAATCTATTTACGTTAAGATATCCCAACCCAGGGGAAAAGAGTGCAAACTTTCTTGCCAGTTGCCTAACTTCATTACAACAGCAGCTTCAGGCGCCTTAAAATAGGTCATTAAAAAAAAGAAAGAAACAGGATTTCCTTCAAAGTAACTCCTGATCATGTGTTTCAGATGAACACACAACAAACCAGACTGAGAACTGCACCAATTAAGACAGCAACTAAAAAACCCAAGATGGGCATTGAAAGACATTGGAAGCAGGTGGAAGAAGGCGAGAATCAACACACACAATATTGTGGGGGGGCTGGACTATAGTTTTAAAAAAACATGAACACTTTTCTATAATCACAGCACATGTCTTCATTTGTAGTACAAAAAAAATTGAATACAATATTTAAAATGAAAAACAATTTTAACCAACATATACTACTACTTCAATGGGAAGTGTGGGCCTGCTTATTTGGGATTACAGGGCTAAAATTCTTTTAATCCTGGAGAAGAATTCACAAACTAATTTGCTTTTTGCCACACTCATGTATGTGTATATACACACATGAATATCTACCAAAATCGTTCAGGAACCATTTTGATGGATATACTTTATATATGGGAAGATTCAAAGCAGAGGGTGAATTCTCCTTTAAGCATTATACTGCGATTGCATTTAAATTAGTGTTAGCCAACTTCAGCTGATTTTGAAAAAGCTAGGAGATGTGGAGACATGTCACTCACCCACCCACTTTTAAAGGGCTATTTTAAAAGTTTTTCACAGACGTGAAAAACATCTGAAAGGCTGTTTTTAAAGACTTTTAAAACACTACTTTACAAGCTGGCAGCTGCTTTGCAAGCCAGCACCATCCCTTCCTCTACTCACCGGAAAGGTAAAGAGGGACACCTTTGCCCGGGGGGGGGAGGGGCTTGATTAAAAATTTTATACAGAGCAACAAAAATTTTCATACAATGCAAAAATAGTATTGTATTGTAATATATTTTTTTTATTTCAACATAACTACAATTTACAAATATGAATTGTAACTGTTGCCAAACATCAAAATTTTGATCGCGTGACCATGAGGATGCTGCAACGGTCACTAAGTGTGAAAATGGTCGTTAAGTGTGAAAAATAGTCATCAGTCACTTTTTTCAATGCCATTGTAACTTTGGTCACTATACCACCTTTCTGGCCACAGTTCTTAAGTGAATAACTGCAGCTGATAAGTTAGTAACATAAGTGAATCTGGTTTCCCCATTTGACTTTGTCAAAAAGTGATTANCCCGGTCAAAGGTGTCCCTCTTTACCAATCTGAAAATCTGGTCATCTTAATTATGGCTAGACATGGCTTATTCCTCCACAAAGGTAAGCAAGTATTCACAACCAATGCCTTGCATGATGTACTTGGGAGTCATGCATACAATCCTTAGAGACTCCAAAAGTTGCCAGAAAATTCCAATATAACATGCTTGAAGATAAAATAATAAGCAAATAGAGAATTCTAAAATTCACTGCAATTAGCCTGAATGAACTTTATTTTGACCTTGGAGTCCTTTACTTTTCAAATCAGTTAAGTAAAGGCCTCAGTGTAAAACCATATGTGAATCCCTGTCATAGACAATTGTTTTCAGTTCATATCAACTAAGTTCACACATCTTCTAAATGGAAACCAGTTCTCTGCATCTGAGAGGCAGTAATTTCTATGCTCTTACATGCTCTATGCTCTGGGCCTTGAGACCAGTTGATAATGTGTGAGTGTGTGTGTGAGAGAGAGAGAGAGAGAGAGAGAGAGAGAGAGAGTGTATGTGTGTGCGCGCGTGCACGCACGCACGCACACACACACACACACACACACACATTCATATATGTAAGCCAGGGCTGTCAAACTCCCAGTGTGTGGGCCAGATGTATCAGGTGCTGGCTATGCCCACGCCCATTTTAGCAAAGGGGGAGAAAGGGACGATATGTCATGTGGCACCGATGTGACAATGTGAGTTTGACACCTGCTCTAAGCCTACACAACCTTTTGAGGGCTTTTTAAAAGTCAGCCCCTAATTTTCTTGCATTTTGTAGCAATCAATATGATGTAATAGTTAAGGCATCAGACTAAAATCTGGGAGACTACAAGTACTAGTCTGCCTTAGTCACAAAGCCACCTGGGTAACTTGGGCCAATCATTCTCTCTCAATTCTAGGAAGGAGACAATACTAAATAACTTCCAAAATCTTGTCAGAAAATCCATGCAAGTCCATGCAGTTGCAAGGAGTCACTACTGACTTGGAGACATTAAAAAAGTTTCATTTTAAAAAGAACACTGCATTCATTGATTTCACTACATATTATCACTTTATAAACAATCAATCCCTAATGGAAAACGTACTCATAGTAAGTTAGCAATAGTGTCACAAATTTGATTTTCAGATAAAAGTTCCAGCAAGTTAAAAAATGAAGATATCATTGACTTGCTTTGCCTCCAGAAGGCACCATTGGTTATACTGTGTTGCTCAGATTTTTTGAATAGAATGCTCAGAATGTTTGCTATGTGAATATTCAAAAATGTGGTAATGTCTGAACAAATGCTATATTTGTATCCTCCATCTGATCCTCTAGATCGTCCATCTGATGTGGCCTCATTTTCCCCCGATTCCTTGACATAAATGTATAATTTCTTACACAGGACAGCAGAATGTATGCTAAAAGCCAAATGCCTTGCCAAGGCTTTAATTTGCTTTGCATATGGTATTAATCTTCAAAAGCCAAACTTAGGTGGCTGAACATCAAAATGGACTTTAGAAAATATACTTATGTTTGTAAACTAAGTAAAATGTAGAACAAAGATTAATTATTCTTCTTAA